TCTCGAGCAATTTCAACCAAACTTGGTACACAGATGGCTTACTCTCTGGTGAAAAATATTGTGAGAGTAACACCCCTCAGGGTATGTGTTAAGATACAGCCTGTTGTGCCTTAAAATGGCTTCTCCTGTACGACTGTAAAATGGCTTCTACTGTACGACTGTAAAATGGCTTCTACTGTACAGCGCAGTGGAGTTGCCATGGTAATAGCTTCACAGTACTCCACAAGCGGTCTCCCTCTGGTAAGTGGGAAAATCCAACATTAGAAATTACATTTGATCTGGACATTTCCCCCCTATAAATAAATACCCGAGCAACGCCGGATTATTGGCTAGTAATCTATACATGCGTGCCTATTTCACCACCTTTAGCCTTAAATGAAGATAAACCTTAACCTCATGTTCATAAGTAGACATGACCCACTGCTAGTTTGCAGGGAGAAGCCCTCCCAAGCAATAGATTTACTGGACCTTCCCAAGCGATAGAAGCTGGACCTTATTTTCATAGCTATTTTAATTCCAATGCAAGAAGGTATTCAGACACATTAAGGGCAATGTGTCATAGTGACAGGAGAGCAGGTAGCTTCTGACATACCAGCCTTTCGAAGAAGTCTCTCACTTTCACGTTAGAGAACAGAGGAGGAATCAGTTCTAATTTGTGATTTGTGTGCGCTGGAATAAAAGGAAAGCAAATAGATTTATTATTTTTAACCACTTCTGGGAAGCTCACAGCAGCATGGTGGGGTTTTTTTTTCTTTCTTTCCCCTCTCCCACTTTCGTAGCAGCTGGGTGAAATGGCATAGCTTGAAGATCGCCGCAAAATCTTAAATCTTTGAGGATTGTTTTCTCTGTAGCTTTAGAAGCTCAGCAATCTTATCCCTTCCAATGGGAACTAAACCTTTATCCACTTAGAATCTGAATCTATGGTGATCCAAAGCCCGCGATCACCGAACCAGTTGTTAAACCGGTAGGATCACAACACTGGATGAAAGACAGACAGACAGACAGACAGACAGGGGAGGGCTGGTGCCTTTGGCTTCGTGCTTGTACGCTTTGCTGGCGCAAGGACAAGGCACCAGCCTGAAGATAGCGAGTGGGACCTCGTCGAAACGTTGCCAAGATACTCTCAATCTTACATGGGAAAAGACCCATAGATAGATAGGTAGAAAGGCAGGCAGGCAGGCAGGCAGGCAGGCAGGCAGGCAGATGATATAATATAAATTGGGGGACAGTAAGACAGACATTCCCAGGGGTGGAGGTGCATTCCTGAGGAGTATAAGGCAATTCAATCCAGATATTATGTGTGAAAGAAGAACAGTGAAGACAGCCCCACCGAAATAGTTCCCAGAGTAGATAGTAGATGCAAATAGTAGAGTACTCCGTCTGGCCAGACTAGGTGTAAATCAATACCTGTCATTCTTGGTTTTAGATCTAAGTATCTAAAAAGGGATTGACTTCCAGGTCACCCCAGGCTGAAAAGGACTTACAAAGGATATTCGGCGCTGGCACCAAACTAAAGAAGTCGTCTTTTTGCTCCTGTTGGGTATATTTGAGAAGCGTCCGCTTGTGCGCGACGGACAAAATCTCTTGAAGGATCTCTATATTCCGGAGCTTTGTGCATAAGCTACACACCCTTAAGGCTTCTTTGTGATAGAGGAGGGCTTTGTGCAAATGAAGTCTTCCTGGAGAAGGGAAAAAAAATGAATGAATGAATGAATGAATAGGATGGATTTCTGTACCATAAAAATCCTGGATTGTTTAAGCCACAACAGCTCTGCCCATCAAGGATCATAAAGGTCAAGGTTCCATTTGCACATACGTGCTAGTTGACTCTAGGGGGCGGTGCTCATCTCTGTTTCAAAGCCAAAGAGCCAGCGCTGTCCAAAGATGTCTCTGTGGTCATGTGGCTGGCATGACAAAACGCCAAAGATGCATGGAACGTTGTTACCGTCCCACCAAAGGCGGTCCCTATTTCTCTACTTGCATTTTTCACATGCTTTCAAACTGCTAGGTTGGCAGAAGCCAGGGCAAGTAACAGGAGCTCACTCTGTTACACGGCACTAGGGATTCGAACTGCCGGACTGCCAACCTTTCTGATCAACAAGCTCAGCGTCTTAGCCACTAAGCCGCCACGTCTAATTTGGCTATCCAAATTAATTATGATTGTCTACAATGACAGTGTTGTTTTAACCTCAACAAGGTTTACCTTGGCTCGGCTTCAACTCCCAGTTGGAAGCCATGCTGGGTGGGGAATTCTGGGTGTTGAAACCCGTGCCTCTTAAACTTGATGAAATTGAAAAACAGTACAGAACAAGCCTTGCTTCCCAAACGCATAGATTTCACCAGTTTGGGGGAGATAAAATGACATATCCCGAAGCAAAGAAATACCTGGAGCTTCTAATCCATGATTTTATCGACCATGCCTACTTGGATGATAGACCTGAAAAAGAGTTTACCCTTACCTAGTTGTTTACGCTGGCTTCTATCTCTTAAGACAGCTAAGGGTGTCATTCCTTCTGGCATGTGGTCATACAGCTGGCAAAAAGCCTTTTCCTGTTGATCTTCATCATCGGTCTGATGTACTGGGGTTCCAAGAACAAAGGAAAGAGAAGATAAACATTGGTTTACTTTCATTTACTGTCCAGGTGAGATGCCTCCAGGCCTGATGAACCAAGAATAACACTCAATAGCAACCACCAACTCCAGAACCTGTTTTTCTTCTGGGATTATGGCTTCTCATGTTTCAGTCTGTTCCTGAAGTTGTTGAACATTCAGTTGCCCAGAAGTGATCTTTTCAATCAGCAGGTTAAAAGTCTCAACATTTGGACCAGAACATTTGGACCAAGAAAAATAAGAGCATTAGGGAAGTCTACTTGTGCCTAATTCCAATGTATTTCCTATTAAGGGAGGGAACTTGTATTGCTTTTTTAGCTTTTAACCACTTTTGACAGTGTGAACTTTAGAGAGACGGGCTCCACAATTCACAAGAGTTGCAGGACCTGTTTGTGCAGTGGGCTCCAAAAAGTCAAGATTGTAGCCTGAATCTCATAATCAAAGCTGCCAGATTAAAAAAAAAATTAGGATCTCTTCCCCCTGTGTACTCCCCAAATAGAAATGAACGTGTGTTGTGGCCCGCCAGCAGGGCTGGCAGCAGATTCGGACAGTGAGGAGGTTGGGGAGGAACATGGGCCAGTTCTGGAGTCTGGGGAAGGCTCTGAGGAGGGCTCTGTGTCGGAGGCAGAGAGGGGGACAGATGCCAGTTATCAGCTGCTTTCAGAGTCAGACATTAGTGAGGCAGACGAATAGCTGGAGCCTGTTCCCAGTGTGCGCATGCACAGAGTTGCCAGACGAAGGGAACGGCTAAAGAATAGGGATCAACTCGGGAGTGAGGCCAGAGGTGGATGATGAATGGCCCCTCCCAGAGGAAATAAAAGAGGACCGAAAGGGGAGTGGAGTTTGCA